GTGGCGGGGGAGGGGTGGGGGGCTTGAAGGGACCGATGGAGTGCAGCCTTACCTAACCTAACCTCTTCGGAACCTTTAAACTCCTTTCTATTTCCGTCGTATAAGACGCGTTGGTAATACGTGGGTGAAGGGATAGGGAAGCGGTACTAGGAGGATAAGAAGAAGAATAATGGGGGGAGGGAGGGGGGGAGACAGGAAGTCTGGTACAATTAGCGCACGGCATTAGTTTCACGAGGTTAGACAGTAAAGCGTTGTGGAATCTCAACCCTGTGAAGGCAGGTAACGAGTGGGAAGAAAAGGAAGAAGGAGGGGTCGAAAGGATTACCGAGCGGAGAAGAAGGTCCCCTCGTTGGTGACGTAGTGCGAACAGTGTACCACGAGCAAATGTCTATGACGGAGTCTTCCCTTCTTAGAAGAAGTAACGAGAATTTGCGAGGGAACGGGAAAAGTTGAGGAGAGTCGAGTGGGAAAGTAAGAGAGCAGGTAAGGTCACGGTAGGTTAGAGAGAGAGAGAGAGAGAGAGAGAGAGAGGGGGGGAGGAGTAAAAGAATGAACAGTAGAATACTCGTAACCTCGCGAGAGAAGAAGTGCACTCTAGAGCCGACTAAAAACACGTAAAACGTTTCACGCTATTTATGCAAGCGTCGAGCGCTCCGAGCGTGCTGCCATCTCTTGCGAGTATTTGGTAGCTCGTCGAGAAGGCCTTGTCCTCGAGTTGCAGTTCTCTTTAACGACGCCTTCCAACTAAGCTTAACCTATCCAGTGACTTTACCATCTTGTCGAACTGACGCTTCCGCGGCGCCTCTCTGCTGGTCGTACATTTCAGAGAAGTCGGGTACAATTAAAACGTGAAGTTCGCATTGTTCTGTTTCATTAGTGTAATTTTAAGATCTGTGAATTAACTTGCCGTTACGGCGACGTCTTGTTTCTTTGACGCTCGCTGCATCATGGGTACGTAGATGCGTGACAATATTTTTTGTTTGTTTGAATCTCTCGCTGTACACGGTACCTGTTTTATTGAGTGCCGGCTGTAGCTTTCAAGGCGACTTACGCTGCATAGCTGCTACTATGGCGAGGCTTCTGCGTGGGATCAGAAATTGCAATGGGAATGAATATTCAGAATGATTTTCCTGCTGGCTGGAAAGTTTTCGCCAAACAGTCGCCCTCTGTCACCTCACGTATATTCGTCTCTGCACTTGACAATTTTCCTATCTCACTGTATGCATACATTATCATACCCTTAAGTTCTTGCTAGTCGCACGAATTAGTTTCCCCGCGAGTGAAGCGAACACACCCTGCCGTGACCGTATTCTAATTACGCGAAAAGCTAGAATATTCAAAGGTCCAACCATTCACGGGTATGGTGATGGAAGATTACGCAAGACGGCGACACTGTTCCGCGCTAACTTTACCCATGGGAAATTGCATGCGTGTTGCATATATTTTGTTTAGAATGTATAACTTTACAATGGCTGGAGATATTGAACTTTAGTTAACGACATTCGATTCAACTCGGTGTTTTACATAAAAGACGACATTAAAGACAATAATTTTCTTCGCGTACATTCTCAAGACACTTTATGGGTAAATTAGTTTTATAGACATTATTAAGGGTGACAAATCACATACAATAGATGTACTCTGGGGATTTGATGGTTTTTTTTTTTTTTTTTCTTGGAAATATGTTGCATTCAATTTGGGCAAAATTGTCGTGGGCAAATTTCAATGTTTATTATTGACTTCAGCTTACGTTAGATTATTGAGGGGGTCTGCAATAGTCTGATTGTAAAGTAATGAGGAAAGGTTAGTAGGAATATTTCTGTTTCTTATGTCCTAATTAGCACAGTGTATATCTATTTATGATTTCTTGTACGAAAGAATTAAAGATTACTCGAATTTTATCGTTTTTCCACGAAAGCGTATATCGTTGCCTCGCGTCGACGTAATTTTCCGTCCGTCGTCTTTAACCTCTAGTAACTCCTTACATTTCGCGAATGTTTCCGCAAAATGGATACGTGTACTCTGCCGGGACTTTAGTTTACACGTACCAGCCCCCATTTTGATATGTTACGAAGTCTCTGCGAAGTGATATTGAAATTGCAGAGTTTGGAAGACGTCTCAAGTTATACATTTTTTTAACTTCCACTTAAAAAAAAAAAAATTACTATGCTTGTTAAAAAACGTACAAAATGTATTACAACTAATACATTCCTCGCATACATTTGTATGACCTTGAATGATACCGAAAATTTAATGTCTCAATTAAAATCGTGGAAAAATGAAAATATATATCGATCCAATTCCTTAATTATTTTGTTAACATTTATAAAATTATAGGAATTTGACAAATGCATATTCATTTTATTTGTTATAGCGAAAATTTTAAAATTATAATGCTTTCCCCAATTTGTATTAATAAAATATTTAAATTTTCGTTGCAGAGAGTACTATGGAGCAGCAGCGAGGCACATCGGGAACTTTGCTATCTGAAAGGTCGAAGCGAAGACGAGTGTCAAAACTATGTAAGAGTTTTCGGACGTCAGGGACCTGACAGATTCCTAGCTTGTGGCACAAATGCCTATAAGCCACTTTGCAGGCAGTTTAAGATCGAGGTAAGATTTTATACCTCTTATTTTTACATTCTCCTATACTACACTACTACTACGACTACTATTATTATTATGCCAATTCGCTAATAATGGCTGGTACATTTGTACGTCCTTGTAGCCAGTGGTCGCATTCAGTCGCGGTCTCATACCAAAGAAGGACAAGCTCAACATGCCTGGTCCTCTAGAAATTTTGGAAGGTTGCCAGAAAAGGGGGACGGGGTGTTTCATCCCCCCCCCCCAGCTCCCAGGCTATAGTCGATTTTCTGGTTTTGGTACGACTGTGGGAATTAGGATGAGTCAGACTGAAGTTAGGTTGGGTTAGACTAAACTGGGGGAGGTTAGGTTCCAGAGGGAATCAGACTTGGCGAGTTTGGCGTAAGATTTTCTAGGAGTGACGTTGTGGGTAGTTTTTGCCCTTTTTTTTTTGTAGCAGGCAGTATGTTGCAAAAAGTCGACTTTTTGTCAGATATTTTTTTTCGAGGAGGAAAAATTATAAATAGTTTCCAATGTGTAACAATGTTTATTTAGCGTAATGCATTTGACCATTATCTGCTTTATCAATATTTGGCATCGTGTGCTATTAATTCCAATGTTGGGAAGCGACATTTAATTACCAGTGGTCGATATACCTGTTACTGCCAAAAAAAAAAAAAAAAAAAAA